CCTGGTCAGTCTCAAACCCCTGTTACTCCCTGCACACAAGTCTACTGTAACTGCATCGGTTTTATAATGAGATTTTTTTTAACTGCCAATGTGTGTTTCTCTGTGGATGATGTGTGTACATCTGAGCAGAGAAATTAGATATGGATGCAGCAGTGGAGAGTCTGTTCTTGCAAGATTCAAATGGTAGAGTTAACTCCCTAACCACTGTGCTTGGTCAGGAAGTAGACCGCTTTAACTTCCTGTTGCGTGTGCTGAAGGTAAGAGACCATTTTTTTTTTTATTGTAAACTACACATGATGAATTGATTACAGCTGCTAATCAAACAAGAATGAATTAATGATCACACTAATTACCCCAATCTTAATTTTTTTTGTGTGTGTGTGTGTGTGCATGCATTTTCTGCAGACTTCATTATGTACTCTGCAGAAGGCAATAGCTGGTCTAGTGGTGATGTCAGAAGACATTGAGAAGATTTATAACAGTTTTCTGAATAACCAAGTTCCTGTTCAGTGGTGTAATGCTGCTTACCCATCTCTCAAACCTCTCGGCAGCTGGGTTAGAGATCTCACCCTGCGCACAGCATTTGTAGAGGTATGTCTATGTCACTACCATTTCCCATTAATTACCTAGATGTGGCAGCTCACTCATTTATCCGGCCACAGTTTCATCAAGAACAGAAAATATTTGAGACTTTTCATAACAACATAAAAGATGTCTAAAACATGAAGAATTTTGTGCAAAAAATGTACAGAACTGCACTTGATTTGTAATGAGAAGCATTTATAAACTAAACACAGGTCTCCTACAGTTTTTCCAACACATAACAATATCAAGGTTTTAACTCTTGCAAAAGAAGAAATAAAAAAATAAGCTTTGTAATTTTACTTATGTAGTTTATATAATAATAAGTAAAATATATAATCATTGTATATAATTATTTTTAAATGTCATTTTTATTTTTAATGTGCAGTTATATTACAATAATATTATATTTCTGTTTTAGAATTATTATTATGATAATTATTATTATTATTATTATATATTAAAATTGTTTAGCTTCCTACATTTTGAGTGTACTGCCTTGCCTTGCCTACTTTAAAGTCCAGGTACAAATCAAGTCAATGCAATTTGCATGGCATTTGAAATGCATCGTGCATTTTAATACATGGCTCACAGGCTTTCTCTGTAAATATGTACTATCGTATTTCAGAAAGTCACGGCCTTAAAAATAGTCTTAGGTTTAAGACTCCACTCACATGCATATGTGCACACACACACACACACTTTTTTTTCTCTGTATTCAGGAGGTTCACTCTCATTGTACATGTACAATTTCCTCAGGGTTGGGGATTCCAGCAAAGGCCAGTGATATATGAGCTGTGTGCTGTTGTTATTATAGTTCAAGAATGGAGCCAGAGGGGCTCACAGCCATTCTGAACCACACTCAAAGAGGCTACATAAACAACTACAATTTCTTTAGTGTATATCCTCGCCTCACTGTCTGGCACTTGCATATGGTGATTGCGTTGCACGGGTTGATGGGCACACCAAACTGTTATCTCTGACTGGATGTGCTGTTCCGTGTGGCTGGTCTGAGTGCTCTGTTATATAACACACAGTCACACACGATAAGCTCATGCTAATATGGATGAATTTCAGAAAAAAAATTGTGTTTCTGAACTCGACAAACAGGCTCAGCATATTTCAATGGACCAGTTAAAATTTCAGCAGTGAAGTGAGAAATTTTCCTCTACATCAGCATGAATAGACTGAGGTACACTGCATAATTTAAGCCCACCATCATAAATGAGAGAGAAAACTTAAAGGGATATGAAGAAACTCATACAGGTTTGGAACAACTTGAAGGCGAGCAAATGATGACAGAATTATTATTTTTTGGGTGAATTATCCCTTTAATTACCCATTGCTGTTATTCTCCTCAGAAATATATAGTTCTTACAAAAATGTAAATTCTGTCATCCTTTTCTCACTGTCATTTTGTTCCAAACACATACACTACCAAGTTTTTTTGTTTGTTTTTTTTTGTCTATAATAGTCACTAAGCCTGCATTCATTTGACCAAAAACAGTAATATTTTGATATTTATATTTTTGTGGACACTGATAATTTTTTTTTCAAAGGTTCTTTGATAAAAAAAGAATAGCATTTATTTAAAGCAGAAACAATTTGTAACATTATAAATGACTTTACTGTCACTTTTGCTAAATAATCATTAATTTAAATGTTTTTTTTTTTTTTTTAAATATATATTTTGAAACCTAAACTTTTTGAATGGTTGTGTACAATTTCTTTTCATTTGTGGAACAAATTTTCCACATAATGGATATACATGGGAAATGGCACTGTCAAAAAGGACAATAAGTAAACGTGCTATTCTATACTTGTGCTGTACTAAAATGCCTTCCAGAATGATATGATGAAAAGCAGGGGGAGGAGGAGGTAAAGAAGAACATGCATGCACACATCTATCATTGAAATTCTTGTCTAATTTCTTGTGAAGCCAGAAGTTTAAATGTTTGGAGGGTGAATGAGATTTGAGAGCTAAGCCAGAAGGCAAGATTTTCACTGAATAAATTAAATTTTAATTTTTTGGCACACAAAACTTTTTTTTGAGAGGAAATGAGGTGAACCATTTCTCTACAAAAAGACTATGACACACTAATATAAGCATTTATTATTTATTAGCTTATATTCTGATATCATCTCCCAGCTATATGATTTGAGGGTCTTTTTTTAAGGTTATGTAGTTTTCCATCAACTAGAACCTTAAACCCACTAGTTACTATTTTTTTCACATGCTCTGAAATAGAAATGATCCAAAACTGTTGGAAAATATTTGTTGTTGTTTTCCTTTGAATGACCTTTGTTCTTTCCATTTTGAATTCATAAGATTGTAAAGTACCATTGGTTGTGTGTGTGTTTGTGTAAACAGAGTTGGGTCACAAGGGGTCAGCCCAAGTCTTTTTGGATTTCTGGTTTATTTTTCCCTCAAGGATTCCTCACAGGTAAAGAAAAAAGTTTTAGGCTTTTAGCCTAAACAGATTTAGGCCCTAAAAATAGGTTCAATCAATGTCATTTGAAACACCTTTGTTTAATAAAGAGTTGTTTCTGTCTCACAGGTGCACTGCAGAATCATGCACGTAAATACAACCTGCCCATTGATGAGCTGAATTTTCGTTTCAACGTGGTACCAGTGTACCGAGACCAGACTCTTGTCACTGAAGCTTTGAAAAGCCTTGAGCCAGGGAAGGAACTTGACATGGACAAGGAGGTCAGCTTGGAAACAAGCAGGAATACTTGCAGAGATGTTTTAACATATATTTTTACTACAAAAATTTTAGATATACTGTAAACATGAACATCCCATGATCATCCCATGATTTCACTGAGGTCCTTTTTTAGGCACAAATAACAGTAATAATTTACTTTTTAATGATTTTCCTCTTTGAATTACACTGCAGTTTAGATGTTTGGGTTAGGCTTAAGCTCACTAAGACTGCATTTATTTGATCAAAAATAAATAAATAATTGTAATATTGTAAAATATAATGTTTTTTTTTTTCAGGATTATTTGATATATGGAAAGTTCAAAAATATCAGCATTTATCTGAAATAGAAATTCCATCACTAATGTCTCTACTTTCACTTTTGATGAATTTAATACATCCTTGTGGAACAAAAGTATTAATGGCTTTCAGAAAAACACAGAATAGGTGTTGTCCTATATTTCGAAGGACATTTCGAAGTGCATTTTAGTTGTATAAAAAGCTCAAGAGAAAAATGTTGTCATGGTTAAATCTCACATCTTTGTGATGTTGTCAATATGTTATGGTCTGCCTTTGTAGCTTCCCTCCATGGAAGATGGTGTGTTGGTTCATGGGATGTACATGGATGCTTGTCGCTGGGATGACATAAACATGGTTATTGAAGACGCACTGCCAAGGGTGATGAACTCCGTGCTGCCTGTGGTGCATTTTGAACCTCAGCAAAACTATGTTCCTGAGTCCACCTTCTACGAGGCACCACTGTACAAGACCTCTGCTCGTGCTGGAACTCTTTCAACCACAGGTCAGTTTATGAGTCTTGTGAAGTTTAAATTGTTATCCTGTTCCTGCCACAGAGTAAAATAAAAGTTAGTTGTAACTTTAAATCCACAATTAAATTTGTATTATTATTCTTATTATATTATTATTATTATTATTATAGGCAGAAACATTCATCCATATATTTACCTCCAGTAGGCTATATATTAAAAAAAATGCTTAAAAAATCTACTGTTTAAACCATTAGCATCAGATTTTAGCTTTGAAGTGTTATCTTATTTATGAAATTTTTACTTTTTTCTTTTATTAAATTGATTGTTTTTGTTCTGTCCATTAGGACACTCCACAAATTTTGTGGTAACTGTGATGTTGCCATCCAATCGGCCCAGTGACTACTGGATCTCAAAAGCCTCTGCACTGCTCTGCCAACTCAATGAATAAGCAAAGCTTTAATTCGCAACTTTAGATCATTTCTCAACAGAGATTTTAGTGTTTTTGAGCACAAGTAACAGTAAAGAATAATAATAAAAAAAAAACATTAAACATTAAAAATGAATTATAAATCAAAATGACCTGTAATGTTGATTTTACTTTTCCCTTCCCCTCTAAAATGAATAAATGCACCTACAATGCATGTAAACTAGTAGATATACTAGTTGTAAATGAAACTAGGTAAACATAACACAGCCACATACAGAATATACAGAAAGTGTGAATTAAATGCCAAGAAGTACTTATGCAAAATACATGGATTCACCTACAACTTTAAATTGTTTTATTTATTTTTTAATTAATATTTTCTAACAAAATTACTTGTATTCACAGTGTTAACATAGTATTTTTACATAATACAACAGAGCATAGGGTCTGAATGAAGTGACAAAATAATGACACTCTGATTATGTGGACAAACTGGACACAAGTGAGAGATTTGAACACACTAATAAGCGTAATATTTATTTATACAAAAATGTCAAAATGATGACAGTTACATAGCTTATTTAATTCTACTGTTAACATAGGTTATTGTTGCTTTGATGAAGAAAACGTTTGCTAAAATTGACAAATTTTGTTACAGTTCAGTGATAACTTTTCATTCTAACAATATTAAATGATTTCAAAAATATTACTAAAGGCAAGAAATGAAAAGAAACATATTTCCCAAAGCGATTATGGGATTGGTTGTTTATATTTCACATAACACTTTGACACTATGTCTGTGAAGTTTGTCACACTGAGAACACATCTTTACATAAACCAACCCTCAAGTGCTCAGTCCAAATACAGTATATAAAGACGTACAATATCACCCAAACAGCTTGTCCAAGGGTCTGTATGTTTGTTCGGAAAGTTCAAAAATACACAACTTTGACAAGTTTTTTTTAATCTTAAATATTGTAACAATAGTTCAACGTTGACCTCAGAACGATGAGAAGAGGAAGGACTCAATCACGTGTTTTTTAATTTTATTTTTTACATCTTTAAAAACAAAAAAAGAAAAGAAAAGAAAATGCAACTCTATTGTAATTATGTGAAGTCTTTCGAGACTGCCTCAATGAAGTTTGGCGCGGCCATGAGAATGGTAAAGGTGCAGATGATGGAGAAAAGTGAAAACGCCACCAGACAGAGCCGATCCACGACTGCTGCCGCAAATTTCCACTCGCTGCAGATTGCCTCTGCCTCATCCTGGTCCCGGAATCGCTGAGCGATGTACATCACTTCCGCCAGGATGTGATGGATCTCCTGTTCGCCTGAAAACACCCTCGCTGCCTCCCGCTGTTCTTCGTTTGGTGACCCGCCGACTCGACCAACGCTGCAAGACATGCCGGAGTCGCTGCTGGGTGGGCAGCAAGCGCTGTCAATGGCGTGGTAGCCGAAGTACAGGTTCATGTGACCGTTGGTGGTTGAGTTGGTAGAGGACGGCTGACCAGGCATTACCCCCATCTGAATGCTGCTGGCGCTGGCATGGTGCGCTGGAGAGGGGTCATATTTGTTGTTCCGTTCCTTGCCCGGCTTCTTCATGCGCAAGAACCAGGCGCACCAGTTGAGCAGGATCACGCGCACCTAAGAAGAACAAGAAGAATCTGCTAAAGATGAAGCACTCAGATGTGTGAACAAGACATTCCTCTCTTTATTATGATGATATGCTGTATGAAATCAGTATATTTCATTAGATTATAGGGGAAAGTGTCCACTAAAGGATTTGTGTGTTTAAAAATTCAGATGCTTCAAGCAGCAGGTGCGTCCCACTGGACATGAACCAAATAAGAAACATCAGACAGCTTTTCTTCTCATAAGAGTAGCTGAGGATACATTAAAGTTTAATACAAATAGACCTCATTACCTCTCCTGTGGGAGACCAGAATGCCAATTGGACTAGAGTCATTCTACAACTCGCCCACGTATTGTGTATATTCAGATTTTTGAAGCAGATTTTTGAAGCAATTTTTTCATTTGGATTGTTTGTGAATGCAGCAATAGTTGCTTGAACAGAAAGCAAGCTTATTTAACTTATTTTAAGTTAGTTTTTAAGTCCTGATAGTTTGTATTGTTCCAAAGTAAAAAAAAAAAAAAAATGTGAAGAGATTTAATGACTTTAGGGTGGATGAAAAAGCCTAAAGGAATTTTGTACAGATTTTTGCCCCAATTTGCTGTCTGGAAGTGTCCGCGCTAGTTGATGAAATTCAAAGCTCGTCTGTAGAATTTGGGCCGTCGCTGTTGACGGATTTCTCAGAAAATCATGTTGTGTAAGATGGGCAGACTCGGACACAGACTGTTTTTTTTATCTTCAGACTTTGATTACGTCTACTCATACAATTAGCTCAAAACATGTCTTCTAACATCTTCTAACATGTATTGTTCTCATCTGTCAGGAGTTCATGTCCTGAGTGACTTGAACGTCTAGCAGTTTGTGATCCTCAAAAGTTGTAAGATGCTCAGTTGTTCCTCTATTTACAAAGTCTGTAATTGTATGATGCCTAGCGTAAAATCTGTTCAAATTTTAATACTTGTGCAATGTACAGTATTCCAGCTCACTTCACAACAGCTCCAGTTGTGTGGAGTGAGTTGACGTTGCCAATACGTTTACATTTATTCATTTAGCTTACGCATTTATCCAAAGCGACTTACAATTGCTATATATGTCAGAGGTTGCACGCCTCTGGAGCAACTGGGGGTTAAAGGGTTAGTTCACCCAAAAATTCTGTCAGTATTTACTCACCCTCATGTTGTTCCAAACCTCTATGTGTTTATTTGTTCTGCTGAACACAAAGGATGATATTTGGAAGAATGTTTTAATCAAACAGATCTCATTCCCCATTGACTGTAGTCAATGGGGAATGAGATCTGTTTGATTAAAACATTCTTCCAAATATCTTCCTTTGGAACAACATGAGGGTGAGTAAATACTGACAGAATTTTTGGGTGAACTAACCCTTTAAGTATCATGTTCAGGGACACAATGGTGTCTCACAGTGGATTCGAACCCAGGTCTCTCACACCAGAGGCATGTGTCTTATCCACTGTGCGTGCCATCACCACCCATCAATACATTCTCTGTGGGAGTTGAGAAACACACTCACCCATTAAACGGTGGGAATGACAGAAGAGCATCAAAAAAGTTGAGGAATACTCAACTTTGTGCAAAAGTTTGCAAAATAAACTATTTATATGAGGTGAAAATGCCACTTACTTTGATGTTTATGAGTTCATTCCATTTTTTCTAACTGTGAAATTTGTTTTTAATTTTTGTTTAAAAATCCAAAACACTGCAGCAGAATGTCAAAAGCACATGGTCTCAATAAGTTATTTTAAAAGTTTAACTTCTTAACACGGTGTCTTATATTCCTATTTAAAACCATCTGGGATTGCGGAGCGAGGCAAAGAAGATGGAATTAAAATCATTTGAACACTGAAAGGGATAGATGCAAGCTGAATATGACTTCCTCCATGACTTCATCTTGGTGTGAAGTTCAGGAATAAATGGAAGGCTCATTGGAGCGGGGCAGTTATGACCTGACAGGAACCGCTTGTTAAGTCTGCCACAAGCAACTTCCTGTCTTTCGGACTGGCAGACTGAGTGGGCTCACTACAAGTGATATCCTCGCCCACCTCAACCACATCCATCTCATCCTGGCTGGATGGTGCCAGAAACATGCTATCTGCTGGATCAGAAGATTTAAGAGACTGTACAGTACATCCTGATCCAGCAGATCAATCAAGCCAGTGACTGAGGAATCCAAGAGCCATACCTTTCTCAAACTCCTCAGCCAACTCGACCTAAAATCCCCACAACTTCAGTCTCTGCTGTGCCACAGCTACAACGGAGCACGTCTCTCGTAAATTGTAGCTGAGCTTACTCAATGTGATTTTTTTTTTCTTAATGGTCACATTCAGATCCCTTGAGAACCAAATGTGCATGCTCCTCACCCAAACACATAATGCATATAGTGTGTCCTTATGTGTCAAAATATGTGGTAATACAAAAACGGCTCCTAAAGACAAAAAAAAGCTGATGACGTGCATCACATGCGCCCTCTTTTTCTCACGGACGCTCCGGTAATGATGTCACGGAATGTCATCGGGCAATAAAAGTGTTGCGTTTACACAGTTGCTTCAGACCTTGGTCATGCTGATGATGCAGTGTTGAGGTCCACTTTGAAAGGGAACTACTAAGAGTTTTCACTCACCCATCTTGGCATCTTTCCCCCTTGTGGATCATGATGATGAAACTGCAGAACGAGGACAGTGACAACAACTGACAAGCCCACAATCATCATGGTGCTGGCGAAGTACTGAGCTACAGAGCCAAAGAAGACACAACCGTTTAAATCGGCAAGATACTGTCTAAAACAACATCAACGAAGAAGTAGTCCTTCATGAGATTCAGTTCAATTTCCAATTTGAATGAAGCCCTTAACTTGCCTATGAGAGGAACAGAGTCAGAGGTGGCCGGCATGATCTCAGCCACCAGGAGCATAAAGACCGTTAATGACAAGAGGACAGTTATACCTGTCAGACAGGAAAGTGGAAAAAGTAAGTGTAAAATAAAATAATGTCATTCCTTCATACATAAAAGTGCATAATTTTGCATATTTGGTCATTATGATAAAAACAGAAAGCTTTATTGCATGTTTATCTTACCCAGTGATATCTTTTCTCCAGAATCAGCTGGCAGCAGGAAAACGAGCAGAGCCAGGCCAGAAATGAGCACACAAGGAATGAGCAGATTCAGACCATAATACAATGTTCGCCTGCGCATTGTTACTGTAAATGTCACGTCAGGGTAAGGCTCCTTACAGCACTCATAATACAGCTCATTACGCTTCCCAGGGACCCCTGACAAAACACAAAGGAACGTAGTCAGGTTTATGTCGTACATCAGCAGGCATTTTCCACAAATACAGTACATTCATTACCTTTTATGAAGCAGTAAAGGCACAAATCCCATGTTTTTTTTTTTTGTTTGTTTTTTTGTGAGAACGATTAGATATTGTCTAACATACAGTGCATGAAAAGTGGCTGTTTTAAGCTTTTTTTTCTTCAAAATGTTATGACATATTAATTCACAATTACGAGAAAGTCATTATAAGAATTTCTTTTTCAATATAATGAGATGGTTAGTCATAATTAGTTCCATATACAGTATGAAACTAATTATACATATACCTAATAATACAGTATGGTATTTTTACTGAAATTTGTCCATAAACTACTGAATGATAGCTTAATTTGCTCTACATTTGCAACCCTGATACTGCTATTTTATTTTATTTGATTCATTTTTGTCTGTTAAATTCAGACGTTCATTTAACAAATGATTTCAAGATCATAATTTTGAACCACATTTTAAAGTAAAATTTAAACAGTTCATACAAAAAACAGCTCATATGTTATTTTGTTTGATATCCTGAGGATGATCAACATTTAATTTGACTTTAAAAAACGTATATTTAAAAATGCAGCCAGGCAGCAGAGTGGTTTAAGGTAAAAGCTAAGGCAGAATTGCAAAGTGACTCATCTACAACATAAATGAGATGAAGGCCTTTTTTAAAAATAAGAGGTTGTCAGCTAAGACGAGCATATTTGTTACAGAACAAAAATTACAGACAGGATGTTCATGACCTTTTAAAGTGCATAACCGAAAAAAAAAAAAAGAAAAAAAAACTTTTTGTTGTTGTTGTTACTAAATCTAAAGCATTCACAAGAATCAGCTATTGTTTATTCTGTTTCATGTCCTTGAACTTGGTGATCACAAAACGGATATATGCTTTCCTTTCCCCTAATTTTTGCAATGCAATCCACTTAATCCTACACTGGTCTCCAAAACACAGATCAAACAATTTGGTTCTTAATAGCCAAACAAGGCTAACCCGAATTTTAAGGATATGAAACACAGTAATGTCATGTACTATAATATACAGTACCTTAAAAGTCAACCCAAACTCAAAAATTCTTGAAATAAACCTTATTTATACCAATTGCAAGACTAAAGGAAAACAATGACATGACATGTTGCAAACAAGTGAGGCAGCCTTGATTTGTCCGGGTCAGACAGACCTCCTCTCCAACTGATTAAAAATGAAATCAAAATTGTAATCAAACTAGACAGGTGGATGAAGAGCTTTTTATCAGGATTTCACGCTGTTTTCAATTGTTATGGCACTCAGAGACAATCACATCAAAGCAAATGGATGGTTTGAGTCATTTAACTGATTACAAAAGACATACCTGAGTGATGTGGTTTGTGTGTGGGTTTGAAGGGGGAGGGAACTTCCATATATAATGATAGTTATGCAAATGTGTCAGATAAATGTAAAAACAGGAAAAACAACCTATTATTGCATACAACAGTGTAGAAAGGTTCTTATTTATCATAGATGTTTGCACTTTTGTGCAACAGAGTGATCAGTAGATTGCGACTTTGTGTGTGCAAATGTCTGGCTCCCTGCGGTGTTAAAGATGCCCATTCAGACTGACCATGTCACTGCACAACCTTGGCACCCAACTGGCCATTGGTGCCAGCCAGAATCAGTGCCAAACACTGCCAACTACCATCAGGACCCCATCTGTCGAACAGACCCTGGGTCACATTGGCAATGAAAGCGTAAAAATGAAAGACTGAGACAGAAACAGAGAGATTAAATTTCCAAACACGACCAGATTATGAGATTAAAAAACCCGCGCCATGCACACAAACATTAATTTCCAATATTAATATTTCTATTATTAGTTTAAAACATCCTATGATGCACAATTACAAGAATTGCACATATTATATAACAATGTTATTTTATTCTGTTATAATATAAAGCCACAAATAAAAGTAAATTACTTTGTTGTGGTCGATAGGATGTTAAAATTCTGTCCGTGTTGTCTTAATCCATAGGAATAACAAATGAAATGCTCTCATGAGGGAATGAGAGTTAAGACATTCTCCAAATTATCCATGAAGTGTGCCATTTGAGTCAGGACCACAGTGATACGAATGATGGTGCCGTTTTTTTTTCCCAATGGTTTTTCTAGGGCAGCATTGCAACTATGCTAACATCAAAGGAATGTGTGAGCATGGATACGTGGATGCCCCCAATGGAAGAGGCATTGACAATTAAGGGTCTGGCCCTGCCATCCAAACAACTTCACATCTCACATCTCGCTGCAGCGCCACAACTTTGCTGCAGCGGTCGGTAGATTCTTTCTTTTAGGGGACAAAATAACTTTATTTGTTGTGCACTTTGGTCTTTAAAACTTCAAACTTCAGGCATGTAGCCATATATGGAATTTAGCCGTATCTAGACTTGTGGATGGCTCTTAAAGAGCACCTATTATGTCCCTTTTCACAAGATGTAAAATAAGTCTCTGATGTCCTCAGAGTGTGTATGTGAATTTTTAACTCAAAATACCCAACAGATCACTTTTTTGGGGGCTTTGAAAAAAGTGCCATTTTAGAATAGAATAGAATAGAACAATTTATATAGCGCTTTAATGTACTACTCTACACCTAAAGCGCTTTACAATCATATCAGGGTGTCTCTCCTCAATCCACCACCAGTGTTCAGCATCCACTTGGATGATGCGACGTTAACCACTGTAAGCACTAGGAAGCCATGATTGAGAAGGGCCAATGGGTGGAATGTGGCCAGGATACCGGGGTTACACCCCTACTCTTTAAGAGAAATGCCATTGGATTTTTAATGACCACAGAGAGTCAGGACCTCGGTTTAACATCTCATCCGAAGGACGGTGCTCTTTGACAGTAAAGTGTCCCCGTCACTATACTGGGGCATTAGGACCCACACAGACCACATGGTGAGCAGCGCCCCCTGCTGGTCTCATTAACACCTCGTCCAGCAGCAACCTGGGCCCGTATCTCTAAAGAATTTTTGTGCAAAAAGTGGCTCCTAGCGGCCAAATTCTAAGAAAATTCTCAGATTCATGACGTTTACTTAGAATTTCCCCTAAAAATGACACGAAAATCCCAGTTAATATAAAAGCTATTCCTCAAGATTCCTGGCGCTTAAAAGGGCTCCTAAGGCGAGATCTGCTAAGAGCAGGGAAGAGGACTTTTAGTGGCTTAGGAGTTCCCCTAAGCAGCTGCACAAAATTTTTTTTTTCCTTTTTTTTCTCCATTTTCTGTGTTTGTAGGATATTTGTTAACAAGCCTTCATAAATAGACCAGCCAGCAATCACAGACATTGATAAAAGCCGTGTTACCCTCGTTAAGACCAGACAAGCGCCTCACAGGGCTCGGCAGTCTGCACCTCCGGTTCTGCTGGTTTTAAGTTGAAATGCTTTTAAGTTGAAGTAGTTTGAATGTTTTCTAAGTATATAACTGTCATATGACTTGGAACACCACCCTTCCAATCCAATTCAAGGACTGAAACTAACTGTTGAAATATTGAAATATGAAAATGTTACAAGTTTTTACAATTTACAAGTTTCCTGGGACTCTTACCCACTAAATCCCACTCTCCATTGGGGATGTATGCAGAGATGTCCACTGACTGCATCTGTAGGTCCAGTAACCATCCGTTATGAGTCCAGGAGCCAAACTTGAGGTCACATTTCTGTATATCGAATGGGAACCAGCGGACATCTATGTAACATGTACTCTTCAGAATACCTGCGTGGTTACACACAAACATCCATACTGCAGCATATTAAAAAAATACATAATTAAAATCAGTGATGGCAATAAAGAAAGACATGCTGGATTGTAAATGAATGTTGAAATTATCTTAAATATTAGACTATATATCACAATTGTTAAACCTACAAAACGAACTGTAGACAAACTAACAAACTAACTAACTCAAAGTATAAATTAAACTGTATCATTGATACTAAAATAACACTTGTTCCTTTTCTAACGGGAACTTACAATGTATCCTCTAGCAGGCACTATGGGAAATGCCTCCGGCATGACTGGTGTCTGAAGCACATATATAAATGTGACAATTGCATTGTCCGGAGACAGCCTATGATGTCATTAACCCTCTGGGGTCGGCTATCGCATCGAGCTCACTTTTAACCTTATCAGTGCAAAAGAGACTCTTATTACTCTGTTGGTTTTAATCTTACATATAAGTGCTGTGCATATAAGAGTGTGGATACTCTGCTTTTTGTCAAATAAAGAAAAATAAAAGATGCAAATTTTGCCTTCTCTCTGTCAGTGAAATTCATTCTGAAACATGTCTGAAAATGAACTGTAACTAAGTAAATACTTATCACACAGGCACGACCGATTTGGTCCCACTTTATATTAAGTGGCTTTAAGTACTATGTAATTACATTGAAACTAATAATTTGATACAATGGACTTGTTGTGTACATACATGTTTTTACATTGTACTTATATTTTAAAATTCCAACATGTAATTACAGCTATAATTAAGTTATGTAATTACATTTGTAATTACACAGTTGACCCTCCCCTCACACCTTAACCTACCCTTAAACCAACCCATACCACCACACCTGTCCCTAACCTTACCCATAGCACACCTCAATAGCAGCAAAAGTGTTTTAAAATACAACAGGAACACAATATTACATTGTACTTATTGTTCAATGTAAGTACATAGTACTTAAAGCCACTTAATATAAAGTGGGACCCAAATTTATATGAAAAAAAGAGTTGTCAGGTCTTTTTCCTTTCAGCTAATTATAGTGTCAAATGTTGAGGCAAGCCATGAAAATGCCCACATCAGCTGGATAAAACATCCAGTTTAATACGAATCTTGTACTTTACCACGTCTTGCTGCGCTGTGAGGAATAATACTATCGTAATAATCCTGGAAAAGTTACCTCAGAAGAGCTGGTATCATTTCAAGAAGCGGATCTAGCTCAATTTTCTTTTCAAGATGTTTCCAACTCTAACTTTGAACCAATTCTATAGAATGGCTCATATAACCTATTTGAACAGGATTTGTTTCCAGGTATGACAAAAAATGCTTTTGGCTTTCATTTATTTTTTGATTATATATACTGTATATATATATCTGTATATATATATATATATATATATATATACATATACACATATATTTGTGTGTGTGTGTGTATATATATATATATATATATATATATATATATATACACATATATATATATATATATTTTCCGCGCATTCTTTCTTGTGTGACACCCGAATGAAAGGCTCATTATGTGGGACTTTGTCTTCTCAGGTGAGTATAAAAGGGTGCCTGAGGTACACTTTGTCGTTAGGGACCGTTTGTTGTGAGGTACTAAGCGACCTAGATATAAGCCTCAGGAATTGTCCATGTCCTCAGTTTTTGACACCAAATGATACGCATGACCTATGCGTGGTTTGTTTGGCATCGCTGAGGCGATGAGGAGACTGAGATCGTGGGGGTCTCAGATGGAGCTTTGTGGAGTTTGAGAGAGGATTCACTCACAGTCCTCAGCGGCTGACGAGAGCAAAAAAAGAGAATGTATTGTCATTATGTCCTCTGATGCAGCAGGCAGGGCTCTGCTGGATTTGAGCCAGGACGAGTATGTGGCTGAGGAAGGTGAAGAAGTGGAAAGATCGGAGTCTTCTCAGCCAGCCTGCCCTGCACATGAAGAACGGCTGGAGATTATGGAACTCGCCTCTTTAAGATTTGCAGTGGTATTGTAAGAAAGAGAACATCTCTTCTGGAATGTTAGATCATGTTCATTTGGACATAACCGTCCAGCTCACGTGAGTTCGTCCAAATGGATATTGAGAAAGCTTGGAAAAACCTCTATTCGGCTTGCATCAATTGAAAATAGCATGCCAACTATGCTATAACATCAAAGGAATGTGTGAGGACAGATTTTTGTCGATGCCGCCATTGAAGAAAAGTTTGTGAGGGTATCTCTTTGGCAGGGAAGGCATCGACACTGAAGGCTTCGGCCCTGCCCTCCAAGCCCCTTAATATAAGTGGTAGCTGAGTTGCACCGCAACCTCAGATCTCACTCTCCGGGCGACGAAATAAACTGCTGCCGTGGTCGGTTCAATTCAAGGAGGTGAAGGCGTGAACAGCGTACAAAAGACGTTCATTCTGATAATGTATTTTTGCCCCTGGCCATATTCCCTTTAAGCAATCTCCCAAGATCCCAAGCCTTTAATCTTTACCCTTGAGCAAAAACTATTTGGCCCTGCAAGGGAGAGAACAAGGAACCTTATCCTCCTCATTTAGGGTATGTATTTTGTGCAGTAGCCGTAGTGGGTGTCACTGGCAGCTAACTAGTAAATCCTCTGGGGAATTTTTTGAATCCCTCAGGTTGGTAATCAATGTTGAGTGCTTATGTCACAAGGCTTGCATTCAGCATGGCAGAGTGGGTAATTTTCCTCTAGAAGATGCAGTGGGTGTTCCCATTCGAAAGGGTTCCCTGAGAAGGGGAATGAGTTACTGCGTCTTGTTGCCGTGCTTCTGGGATGTCTGCTAATTCTCCTTCAGGCAAAGGAGTGGATGTGTTCCTCAGGTGCCTTTTTACACTCACGGCCGCACTGATAATGATGCAATAGGCTGTCGTAGACCAATGCAATTGTCGCGTTTATATACAGGCTTCAGACACCTGTCATGAGGCATTCCCCTAGTGTCCTTAGAGGATACACTTACCCCTTTTCCACCCCAAAAAAACTGGTTCGGAACTGGTGCTGGTTCAAAGTTGGTTCAACTTGCGAACCCTTTCAGAACCTGTTTATTTTTCCACTGACTAGAGCGCCCAGGGAACGGCGTTGTTACGTCACTGTGTACGTCGCTAGAAACGCTTGCAAGTACATTGCTTTGGGATTATCTCTAACTCGTGTACCAAGAAAACTTTAAAAACAATTGAAATATGTAAGTCTCTTAATCTTTTCATTTGATATGTAATCTTTTCTGATAAGTTATGTACCCCTGTCTTGTGTCTTTTTATTCATTCCATTTATTTGTTCTGTATCGTGACTGTTTTCTTCTTTGCTTATGTTTCAAAAAATAAATAAATAAAAACGCTTGCGCCAACTTCAAGCATAACAACAATTACAAAGGCGGACTCCATCGTGTTTCTGCAAATGTTTCTCCTGGCTTTGCGATGGTCAGAAAAGATGTTTAGAACACATCTAAACCCACACCAGCCCCCGACGTAAGCGTGACGTGGTAAAAGAACGGTTCTAGTCCAGCAAAGAGTTGGTGCCGCTTTGGAACCAGTTCACCCAGCCGAGAACCGGTTCTTTGGCTGTCGAAACACAAAGAACTGGTTCGCGTGCAGGCACCGGCTCCGAACCGGTTCTCAAAATGCTTTGGTGGAAAAGGGGTTACTGTGAGTTCTCAGGGAACCATGGTTACACGCATAAACTAAGGAATTTTTAAAATTAAATTAACTTTATATTTTATATAAAAATGATTGCAGAGGTAATGTAAATGTAGAAACAGAAAATGAGCACACAATTAAATGTCCAATATTAACCAATACCGATAAAAAGAACAAATTTAAAAAAAATCCAATATCAGCTAATGATCAAAATGTTACCAATTCATTGTGCATCCCTACCTTAAATGTGTCAGACTTAGACATGTATTTGTGTGGTTGGATAATTAAAAGTGGTAAGGATATTTCATACCTGGTGGTATGTACTGACAGGCACCTGATGCATTAACCAGGACATTCGTATGGAAGGTAGCATCAAACCTCTCATCAGCACTGCAGAGAAGAGTGTGAGCAAAAAAACAAAAACAAAAAAACAGATTAAACTCAAAATAGTTTTTCAACTGCACGACTGTAATTGTTCCGGAAATGTTAGCCACCCTGTAATCTGAATAAAATGGCACACAGGTTAAACAATCAAATGCCAGGTATTGCCTTCATACTATGCGATGGGTCATTTTGCAACTTAAAATAATTTCTATGCGCTCTCTGTAGAATAATAAATGTGTCCTTGTACTTTTTCTTTTCTCCTTCTTCTAGAGGAATAATATTCCTTAGATTAAAATGTCCAATTCTATTAACATTGTGGTTACTAGGAGACAGTCCAGCAGTTGTATTGTTCAAAATGAATCATACATACCAAAGCACTATTAGTAGTATGATTAAGAAATGAAACTCAGGTAAAAATGTATAAAACCTTTATAAAATAATGTCATAAAACCTCTGTGACACTTAGGGCTTATTAGAATGTAATAGGCAAACAATATGATTCTAAATATGACAGTAATTCTACACATGCGCTGATCTTTTATTTGGCACATAAGTCAAATTAATTAGTATTTGGATAGAGTCTGTACATGTGTGTATGGGAGTGGACAGGGATGTGGGGGTGAAAACACAAAAAGTGTGTGTGTGTTGAAATGCTAAAATGTAAATTTTACTCTGTTTTGATGGTCCCCTTTAGACATTCTGTTGACTTTAAGTAGCCTAATGCTGCACCTATACATGTCAACTACCTCTAAGTATTAGTTGGAGTAGACTATTAGTGGTAGGGTTAGGTTAATACAGGGTTAGTATAATTAATTAATTCCTCATGTCGTTCCAAAGCCATAAAACCTTAGTTGATCTTCAGAACACACTTTTTTTTTTTAAATGAAATCTGAGAGCTTTCTGGCTTAATTTTTCTTTAAAACTATAATGACAGTTAGTTGACATGTTGACGTGTGTGTGTGTGTGTGTGTATGTATATCTATATAAATAAAAGTGGCTATGATCTAATGCCACATAGTGCTTACATTTTCAGTAACACTTTATTTTGATAGTAATAAAAATGATGAAAAATAAAAACTAATAAAAATGACAAATAAAAATGACAAAAGCACATACAATTACTAAAACTTTAAATGAAAACTGAAAATATAAAAATAAAAGCTAATTCTAAATATTAAAGCTGCAGTCTGCGGTTTTTCCTCTTTGTTGCCATCTCTGTTCGATATCTGCAATTCATACTTTGCACATGTACTGGCTGGCGGGCAAGAACGTCGTTCTCTAGCAACGAAACCCAGTAAACTAATCAAGGATCTTGCCAGGACATCGCCAGTTTTAATATAGAAAAGTTGGTGTTTTGTCATCTGTGTGTGATTTGATTTGATATGATATGAGAAGATTAATACATGGAGAATGAATGACACTTTACTGTTGCACTGCCACTGCGTCTACTTATTACTTACAGTTACTTTGCATACATATTATCGTACACTTATTAATATATTACATTACAGCCTAACATATTGCTAACAGGATTCTAGCATACACATTTCGCTGGCCCAGCTTCTCTTGTCTGTTGTCTAATGCTAAGTGAAGTGGATAAGCAGGTAGGCACAATGTTTGACATCCTGCTAGCCACATATGATACCGTTGGCATAAGTTTTTATTTTTTATTATTCAAGCTGTCATTTGCCGGCAGGGTGTACATATTCAGATGAAGACTTCATCACACGATGGAACAGATGTCATTTTGTGCATTGCTGCAAACATTAGCAAACTGACCTTTGCTTTGATTATGAAGGTATTCCTGTTTGGCTGTTTTTCACATCCCATACAAAAGCGTTGTTAATAATGTTGTTAAAAAGTTAATAATTGAATTTTATTAAGAAAATATTTTTGTTTGACTTGTATATATATATTTTTTTTATTAGATCAGATGGCATTTTAAGCTGTCATGTGGTGATGTTACAACGTGCCCCTCACATGTTACAATGTACCTATGGGGCATGATGTCACATTTTACTTCCATTCTTTCGGGTAAATAAAGAAAAAAGTATACACTGTATTAATAAAACAAAACCACATAATTGTACTAGACATGTGGGGAAAAAAATAAATCTCTGAACCCTATGTAGATTTACACAAACTGAGAAAGTCAAAAAGCACCCCGCATTTTTACAAGCTTACCATTTTTAATCGAGCTAAGGCAAGCACTGGCTGGTTATGTATTTATTTATTTATTTTTTTCAAAAATGTACTGGTTCTTCTAAAAAAAATTAGCATATTGTGATAAAGTTCATTATTTTCCATAATGTAATGATAAAAATTAAACTTTCATATATTTTAGATTCATTGCACACCAACTGAAATATTTCAGGTCTTTTATTGTTTTAATACTGATGATTTTGTCATACAGCTCATGAAAACCCAAAATTCCTATCTCAAAAAATTAGCATATTTCATCTGACCAATAAAAGAAGTGTTTTTAATGAAGTGTTTTTAGTGTTTTCAAAAAAAAAAAAAAAAAGTCAACCTTCAAATAATTATGTTCAGTTATGCACTCAATACTTGGTCGGGAATCCTTTTGCAGAAATGGCTGCTTCAATGCGGCGTGGCATGGAGGCAATCAGCCTGTGGCACTGCTGAGGTGTTATGGAGGCCCAAGATGCTTCGATAGCGGCCTTAAGCTCATCCAGAGTGTTGGGTCTTGCGTCTCTCAACTTTCTCTTCACAATATCCCACAGATTCTCTATGGGGTTCAGGTCAGGAGAGTTGGCAGGCCAATTGAGCGCAGTAATACCATGGTCAGTAAACCATCTACCAGTGGTTTTGGCACTGTGAGAAGGTGCCAGGTCATACTGAAAAATAAAATCTTCATCTCCATAAAGCTTCTCAGCAGATGGAAGCATGAACTGCTCCAAAATCTGCTGATAGCTATAGCTGCATTGACCCTGCCCTTGATAAAACACAGTGGACCAACACCAGCAGCTGACATGGCACCCCAGACCATCACTGACTGTGGGTACTTGACACTGGACTTCAGGCATTTTGGCATTTCCTTCTCCCCAGTCTTCCTCCAGACCCCTCCTTGATTTCCGATGCTGCTTCTCTGTAGCCCAGGTCAGGCGCTTCTGCCGCTGTTTCTGGTTCAAAAGTGGCTTGACCTGGGGAATGCGGCACCTGTAGCCCATTTCCTGCACACGCCTGTGCACGGTGGGCTCTGGATGTTTCTACTCCAGACTCAGTCCACTGCTTCCGCAGGTCCCCCAGGGTCTGGAATCGGTCCTTCTCCACAATCTTCCTCAGGGTCCGGTCACCTTCTCGTTGTGCAGCGTTTTTTTGCCACACTTTTTCCTTCCCACAGATTTCCCACTGAGGTGCCTTGATACAGCACTCTGGGAACAGCCTATTTGTTCAGAAATTTCTTTCTGTGTCTTACCCTCTTGCTTGAGGCGTCAATGATGGCCTTCTGGACAGCAGTCAGGTCGGCAGTCGTACCCATGATTGCGGTTTTGAGTAATGAAACGGGCTGGGAGTTTTTAAAAGCCTCAGGAATCTTTTGCAGGTGTTTAGGGTTCATTAGTTGATTCAGATGATTAGGTTAATAGCTTGTTTAGAGAACCTTTTCATGATATGCAAATTTTTTGAGATTTTGGGTTTTCATGCTGAGCTGTATGCCAAAATCATCAGTATTAAAACAATAAAAGTCCTGAAATATTTCAGTTGGTGTGCAATGAATCTAAAATATATGAAAGTTTAATTTTTATCATTATATTATGGAAAATAATTAACTTTATCACAATATGCTAATTTTTGATCATTTTTTTACCCAAAAAAGGGGGCTGCAGCTTTAATAAATACTAAATATTTAAATGATGAATTTTCCATTTTAATTGTTTCTGTTTAATTTATATTTATTACAGTTTTAGTAATTTTAGTACTTAAACTTAAAACGTTTTCCATCTCATATGTACATTTTTATCTTATTTCAGAATTATTTCAATTAACGAAAATAATTGTTCATAGTTCGTTTTGTTCATTGTTCATTTTGCTTTTTTGACACTCAAAAAGTTTCTTTCAGTCTTTTACTTATTCTGCACATTTACTCTTTAAATATTTGACTGAGTTAAAACACAAATGCCATTATGTAACATAAAACAAGATGCAAGACACATGGCCACTTGGGATATTATGCTCATGGCATTCCTTTCAGTCTTAAAACTTGTCTTAAAAGTCTTCTTTTCAAAGTCAGACGAAAAAAGTTTCATACTGTGAGATTAAAACATGTCTCTGCTCTTTGCTGTCGGACATCAAGGATGACCTTTCAGCAATATTGTCTCTAATCCTTTCCATTTCTCAGAAAGCTTTCCTTTTTTTATGGTGGTTTGGCAGATTGCAACCTGCGATACTAAATGGAGGCTGTCTGATTAACAGCCATGAGTAGATGAATTTAAAAAAACAAACAAAAAAACAATACCTCACATTATGACACAGAATAATTATTTTGGCAGCAATTAGCCTACAAATTGTCACTTTGCCAAACAAATCACTTGCCATGCTCACAATGATGCTTTTGCTTAACATTTGCAATACATGCCTATAAAAAATGGGAGAATCATTGGGAGTACTCATCCTGAGTGACAAAGAAATGGCAAAATCATTGAACTCTTGCTGTCTGGTCGGTCCTACAGAGCACTGAGCACCAGAACAGCAGTCACAAGAAGGCCATCTTCCTCATTAACAGTTAAATGCCCCCACAGGGCAAAAAAAAGTGCAATCCACAAAACTATTTATACTTATGTTTACTTAGCATCACATTACTCTTATTCACATTCTCTTTCATTTGTATACAACTGTACATACATCCATTGTCTATTTTGTACTGTTATTCTGTCTGTGCTCTGTCACCAAGACAAATTCCTTGTAAGGATCATTCTGATTCTTAGAGTAACTGGTAACAATTTATAATAAGGTTTCATTTGTTAACATTAGTTAAATGTATTAACTAA